TAAAAGTCTTCATTGAAAACGTTTGTTCCAGCCGAATAGCTCAAAAGTATTTGATGCTATTTCGAACATCAAAATATTATATAAAGCTAAGACGTCTACACTGCCGTCTATAAGACACTGGGCCCACTCATGTGTATCTAATATGATATTAAGATAAGTTCACTTCACAATTCTTGACTAGTCAAAGACGATTAAACTCTAGGAACAGGATAACGGCGCACTTGGTGCATTAAATGGTTTTCGTGGCCCATAGACAAAGAAAATGCCCTTACCTACGCTGAGACCTCTATCACCTTTCAAACAAAACGCAGGACTGCTTAGAAATATTTTATTTTATTTTATTTATTGGGTACCAACTAGTTACACATCAGCACAGAATATTACAAGTAAGATATATATGACAGAGTGAGCGGTGACGTCAAAGACTGATGGAGTCAGCTTAGTTAACTCTTACTCAATCTCAAACTTAATCTTATTTAATTAAATAGCCGATATATACATTGATCTCACACTAAATGCTTAAAACAGGTTACAGGTTAACAACAACAATAATTGGTAGCATGGTGGTAATATAGTAGTAATGGTTAATACCAGTCATTTGGAAATCGCAGTACACTTCTACTAATTCTCAGATTAATTCCTTAGTAGCCTTTTGCAACACCCATGGGAAGAGATGGGGTGTTATATTTTACACGGCAAAACCAAGTTATCCGGTTATTAGTTTAATTGAAAACGGCTGAATGTTCATAAGTACTGGTGATGAAGATCAAAAGTAAATAATTCAGCTCAATAAATAACAAAATATGAACAAGTGCTTTTAACATTTCTATCTAATTACATTTTGCAAATTATTTCTTGTTGTCTTTTGTTTTGGGATTTTCCCATATGAACACAAAACAATTGGAAATGTTATAACTATTCGAAAAAAAAAAAAAATAAGTTACTAAACCTGTTATCCACTTGAAAGTGTTCAAAAGAACAATACGATGTCCATACTACATTAACCCAAAATGAGATCTCGAAAGTTTCACTGTAAACATTTCTTCAAGGTATCCCGGTTACCAGAAACCACATTGAAGTCACTTTGAAAACCCTCCAAGGGTAATGGCAACGGCCCATTCAAAAGGGAACAACAGAGTTAAAGAACATTAGACGGACGAAGGCTTCACCACACATTCTTGGCAACTGTATTATGTTTCGTTTCGCACGCAAAGAGCTGTTCCTTACCCTTTGATACGTGCCCGTAATTAGGGACGTAAATGATTGACCCAATTTATTTATGTCACTAAAAGTAGCTTAGTAAATATTATGAATTCTTGGATATGTGTAAGATTTAAATTTATTAGGTAGTCTAGACAGGAATGTAGATCTTCACGACGATCTTCAATTAGAACCGACACGTAAGTATCTAAAGAAAGTGTCAGAGCGCTACTTTGAATAAGCGGCGCGCCACAATAACCCTCTTATTTTGGGCGCCGCTAACTACATTTCGCGTCATTGGAGTAATACTGAATTAATTCTAAGCGGGGAAATACGGGATCATTTCCGCATACTACCCTCAACTTAATACCGTAAACTGTGTGATACTGTCGATGCTAAATGCTTTCTTCATAAAACTTATTTAGGAACTCCTAATCATCATGATTACTTTTTATCGTGATGCAACGACTCAAGGGTCCTGAAATCAGACACGAGGATTCTCCGTTTCTCTTTGTTTTCCCATACCTACTTCATTTCGAGAGCACTTTTCATAGACTTTTTTTTGTTACCAGGGTTCGATCAGAAGTTCTCTGAACATATCAACTCACACTAGATAATAATAGTTAGTTGGTAATTATAATAATACTTTACACCACATTGTACTTGCAGCCAAAGTGGGGGTCGACAGTCTAACCAGAGAAACCCAAGTTCGGCCCTTTTCTCGAATGTTTAGTAGATTTTGACGCGCAAGAGAACGATGCTGAGAATAATGCGTATTTAATGAGTCTTAAGACTCGTTTGTCGGAAGCGCTTTGGAAAGTCAGTGTTAATATTCTCTAAATAATTTCATTTCACATCAAGACATTTTCGTTGTCAGAACCCATTATTGGTGGAAACAAATTAGTTACTTTATGAAGCTTCAACAGAGTCAATAACTTTCTGTGTACACTGCGTGCATCGTGTATCTATTGAACTTTCACCGCGCTGTTGTTCGTATCCCTGTTACAATAAGTTAAATAGGCACAAAATATAGTATAAAATACCTCCGTCCGCAGGATATAAGTAATGTGTTTCGTCATTATACTAAAACATCTATTGTAAAAAACCAAGTAGATGAATAGAATATAATACTAGTTAGCATAAACTAACGTTATGGTTTTTCTCACATCAGTGCGTCTTAAGCAAAGAAATGTATTTTAAAAATAGAATAAAAACATGGCTTCATACATAGTGAATCGAACTAAAGTTAACATAAAAATTAATGCATTTTTACCCTATTTTTTTTGTTAAGATAATAAGGTAGAGTCGACAAGTGCAAAGGATAACATTGTAACTCAGATTTATACACTTACATGTCCTTGCATGCGTCAAAATAATACATACTGTCATCGGTGTCAATATTCAAGTTATTCCGATCTCTTGAAGTAGGTTGAAACTGAGAGATTACATTACAGGTACTAATAAAAACATATCTAAAACGAGCTCTTGTAATCACTAATCGTAATACACATACCGCTCAATGGCACTATATGCTACTCTTCAATAAAATTTGATTCTGTAACATCGTTAAATATAGCCCGCAGCATATTTTGTAGGCGTCTAAATGACTCGCTCAGTCGAAGGGTTCGCCATTACGGCTAGCTCATTAGCGAAACCAAAATAAAGGTTGCAATAGAAAAGGGTGAGTCGACAGTTTGAATGGTCGCTGATTTCAGGACTATTTATCAAGCGTAAACGAAAGGCAGGGTTGTACGGAGAACTTTATTACGTGTAATTGGATGATACGGCTTATTTTTTTATTTTTTTTATCTACACATATATAAACATGTAGAGACTCAATAGCTAAGTGCCCTTTCATCACTGTTAGCGAGCCGGTTTTTTTTTTCATTTTTGTTTTGGAATGAAGTTCCTTATGGGACGATGCGGAGGGGTACCCTAACTGGGAACGTCCGTAACGTAAGAATTTTATTAGTAATGCACTATGCATATAGTGAACGACTTCACTTTGTAATAATGTACTTTTACTATGTCTACAGGAAATACATACGGGATGAGGACATTCAGGCCTCAAATACCAAATACCTATGACAAACGGAAACTTCGATTTTACGATACAAATAATTTACGATTTTGAATTTAAGTATATTTACATTGAAAAAAGCAAGTCAAACCTATTAAGTATAATACTCAAGCTAAGAATTAATATGTCGTTGAAAAAGCTCTATACTTAATATCGTAAATGAAAAAGTTTGCTTGTTACTTAATCCTGCAAAAAATCCACAATTGATTTCAATAAAATTTTGTAACGATAAATAACATAACCCGAGCAACGCTGGATATATTATTATCTTCTATAATGAATACGACAGCGCGTTTGCTACTTCGTGATTTTACGTTCCAATGGAAGTATAATAGTAATTAATATAAGCAACTGCTATATTAGAAAAAGTAGCGTATTAAAATTTTATATTCTGAATTACAAATATATTATTACTAGCTTTTGCCCGCGACTCCGTCCGCGTGGAATAATTCCTTTGGAATAACGCTAAATTTTATCCCCACTTAATTTATTTATTTATTTTTATTTATTTATTACACTTCATGTAAAATTTAGAATGGCGGACTTAATGCCTAAGGCATTCTCTACCAGTCAACCAAAGGCTAATTTACGTAGAAAGTGAAAATATTTTTTAATTATACAATGTTAAGGAGCTATTTAAACCCATATTTTGATAGATTATTTATTGGTGCTCCACTTGTGTTGGCCTTACCGTGATGTTATATAGCCTATAACCTTCCTCAATAAATGGGTTCACTGAAAGAACTTTTCAAATCGGACCAGTAGTTCCTGAGATAAGCGCGTTCAAACAAACAAACTCTTCAGCTTTATAATAATAAGTATAGATTATGATTAAAACCACGGAGCACGTCTAAATTTATTATAATCGAAACGATTAACAAAAATAATTTAAGAACAAAATGATAACTAATTAATTCACTTCAAAATCATATTCCAATCGTCGTTCGGTTTTAAATGCCAGCCCTATGAGATAAGCAAAGAGAAAGGTATAAATTGAAATGCCTTATCGTAAGCACTACGACTAACATCCACTAATGGAATCTCATTAGTACTATATAATAGTTTTTTATTGCTCCAGGCAGACGGGTCCGCGGCCCATGTGATGTTTAGCGGTAAAAAAAAAACTACTACACACTACAAACTATCCAAACACGGAATTTCAATATGCCTTCCCAATAATAATAATAATCATATTTATTTGTCTCTAAAAGGTACAGTACTAAAATAGAGATTAACCTTATAATTGCTCTGTATTAGGTTCAAAGACCTGTATTACTGATCTCCAGGTTCAATAACATAATTGGCATCGGCATTGCTGGAGTCCAGGAGCGACGGTAACCACTCACCATCGGGTGGGCCGTATGCTCGTATGCCTGCATGGGCAATAAACTTAAACAAAATAAAATATACAAAATAAATTTACAACATTTATTCGTACATCCTATAGACCTTAGAACTCTTATTATATCTCCAGGTGGGTGGCGGCATTTACATTCTACATGTCTACAGGTTCCGGTAACCACTTAACACTAGGTGGGACGTGAGCTCACCCACCCCTCAATGCAATAAAAAAATGAGAAAAAGGTCAAATAGCTAATATGCAAATTATTAAAATGTATCAATAACTAAAACGTAGTCGCATTATAGAGATTTTTTTTATTTTTCATTATTTTAAATAAAAAAATAAGTTTACTAATAAAAAATCGTTGTTTGTCCGCAGATTACAAACCTAGACTGGTTTCGATATGCAAACGGAATCAAACCGCAGGACATGTGAGGTGAGAACGACTTATATTGAAATGACAAATATCTGTGTATGACAAATGTCTCTCGCTCTTTCACTCACTAATTTAAATATCAATGAAAATGTAATAATCTTATTGAGTATGACGTAAATTATTTTTATTTATTTATTTATTAATAATATTATAACTGGGAACAAATAACTGGGAAAATCATCTCGTTTTTACCATCGCATAGCCCGCCATCGGAGTAGTGTTCATCCATACTACCTGGAGCCACTGCGTTCATCCACATTACGTTTCCAGATATCTTTTTTGCCACAAAAGATCCAGTTTTGGAATGAGCTCCCCTCCACAGTGTTTCCGAGCACTATGACATGTCCTTCTTCAAACGAGGCTTGTGGATAGTATTAAACGGTAGGCAGCAGATTGGCTCTGCCCCTGGCATTGCTGTCGTCCATGAGCGACGGAAACCACTAATCATCAGGTGGGCCGTACACCCGTCTGACTACAAGAACAATAAAAAATATGACCTTATTAATTTTATGTATGCTTAGTGACCTTATCACTGAACTTCGTCGACGTCGTCCAAAACACGTCGTTACGGATCCTCCCGATCCATTAACGGTGCTTTTAGGTACCCCAAGCACCGATCACCGTCCTCGTCGAATCGGTCGCTTGCGACGAAGGGCTCAACAAGTAAATTAATCCACAGACACAGCCCACTGAGTATCCGATCCGGTGGTAGATTCTGCGAAGCACTGCTCTGGCTAGGACCAGTGTCAGCAATACTTCCGGCTTGAGCCCCGTGAGCTCACCCACATATTAGGGTGAAGCTGAAATAGCCTCTCAAGGTTATCAGCATAGATAGGAAAAAAACTGAACTTCGAGGTTCAGTTCGATTCTCTTATGTGCGATTTTTTTTTTCTGTGTATGATTCCCATCCTCGAAACACAGGACTAAATAAATCCTACTTCATAGTCACTGAATCTGAAACATTTCATATAATGTCTATTTTTCACGCTCGAGTAAAGACTAAGATATCCTAAAATCAATGAAGCGTACATCTCAAAAATAAAGAAACAAAAAACTATAGAAGCTAAACGAAAAATAGCCATCGAAAATAAACATCAAGGAGAATTTCGTAAGGATCCAAAATTAAACGCGAACTTTCCGATTTCCTCCTACCCGGCACGGCGGCACACCTTCATTTCAACTTGAACAAATTATCAATTTTAGAACAAAGTCCAAAAATTCTTCAAATAAATCACAAAGGGGCTTCAACTTTGAACTATTAACGTTGTTCGATTTAATTAGACGTAACCTTGACCCTAAAACTTTTCAATCACGAGTCTTAACCCGAAATATTTTATTCAAACTGTTTAGTCGTAAATTGCTTCTCGGATTTTGCTTTCTGTTTTAAAGGGGCCGTAATTTAACTTGATTCAAATAAATTATGCTCATAATTGGAGCGCATTACAAGTAATAACGGTGGTGTGCTATCTATTCAAACTAGGCAGGAAACTGCTATGAGAGTTTCACAGGTATTCGAGAACGTAGCTTGGCTGCTTTAGAAGCTTACAAATTGTAATGGACTATTTCAGACCAACAAAAATACGCATTTAACAATTAAGAATGTGTTAATGTAAGATGCGCCCATCACCACGATAACTGTAAACTGTAATCGAAATGTCAAAAATAATATTATGATAATAAAAAAGGCGAAATTAAACCATAGAAATAGTTTTACGAGGACTCGCAAAAACCGAATAAAATACTATAAGAATGTAAAAACATTATTAAAAAGCATGCATGCTTTTTAAGCAAAATATAGATGCAAAATAAAGATGCAAAAATTTACAGATTTCCGAAGCTTCTAACGGCAATGTTGAAAATTATACCGATTTTATTTGGATGCCAAGCGCATTTGTAAGTTAATTTCCACATTCGACAATGATATCCACCCATTGACGACATTCAAAATGTAATCACAGGCTCTATACTCATATTTTCAACCATGCTATACCAAATAATGGCACACCTTCTCGAGAGGCATAGGAACATTCTCGAAAAACCTCATTCAAAACGCATCCACGTACACAAGCTTCGTTGCTTCGTAAAAGTGTCTACATTTCCCTGAGAACATCTATATTTTCTTAATGGAGGTCACCTGAAGCACATTCCGTACTGTATGGTAATAATATTCAATGTACGCCTCAAAACAGAATAAATTTTGAATAACATTACCCAGAGTGTAGCCAGAAAGGATTCTGAATCAATGAACAGAGGTTTACTTGAATAAAGAATTTCTTGTGAGCACGTATTACTTGTATGAATGCAGTTTCCGTATGAAGAGAATTCAGTTCTTCTAGATCTACTTAACTTGGCTCTGCCAAATAAATGAATAACACCTAAACTTATGAGACCGTACTTCGGTGAATTACATAAAATGAAGAGGGCTCTAATGAAGTGATTTGTACTAACTGCTTCAACTAGTCATGATGTGCTTAGTCGAAGAGAGACGTTGGAAGAAGCGGTCCTGGATATGGAGCATTATTCACAATAAGGTTTTTTTAAATGCTTAAATGGGTACATGAACTTATTATAGCCAATGGCACGTTTATTATAGCCAATAACAGTGGTCAAGGTTCGCTGGTATCGAGCAACTGCAGCTCGGTGAGAGAGTGGGACAAATAGATGATCAAGCTCTTGTATACGAGAGATACCTTAAGAAGAAAAAGAAACCAACGTGACTGAAATCCAGAAAATGTCGGAAGAAGTTTCTTAAGAAGGAAGGAAGGATTTTCAAAAAAATAATTCCCTAAGAAATAATTTTAGAATAACGTGGATATATTTTTCTTGGATCTTTCTTATTTTTTTCTATTTTTTTCTTTTTTTATTTCTATATTCTTCTTTCTATTTGTTTGTCTCTTTCATTTATATTCACGTGTAACGAATTCCTTAAGTCGTCGTCAGTCTGAACCCTACCAGACTCATATTACTCGTAGATTCTCCAAGTTATTACGATATTCACAGCTTAAAGCGGATGCTTAAACTATTAATAAAGTTTACTTTTCATGCCAAGATGACTTAATTTAAGAATCCTTAACGCTTTAATAAAATTCCATATTTGTTGCGTATTTATTCCATCTCTCATTTACTTCCAGCAGACATTTATATTGTAATATTTTAAGGTATGCACAATAAAAATCTGAATTATACCTTTTTTTTTATTGCTTAGATGGGTGGACGAGCTCACAGCCCACCTGGTGTTAAGTGGTTACTGGAGCCCATAGACATCTACAACGCAGACGCGCCACACACCTTGAGATACAAGTTCTAAAGTCTCAGTATAGTTACAACGGCTGCCCCACCCTTCAAACCGAAACGCATTAAGTACTGCTTCACGGCAGAAATAGGCAGGGCGGTGGTACCTATCCGCGCGGACTCCCAAGTGGTCCTACCACCAGTAATAAATATTATACTAATTATAATTCAGATTTTTATTGTGCTTGTCTTGTCTAATACCCAAAACAGCAACTCTTTCAATCCCCACGGTAGTATTTACCCTATTGCCCTACCGTCTAATCTTTTGTCCACATATTTTATCCAATATTGCAAGCTTCATTCATAAACTGCTTTTTAAACCTAATTATATTATAGGTACAGTTGTTTTTTTTTTTGATCTGCTATAGGTTCACAGTAAAAGAAAAATATCAATTACAAGTTTACAAGCATTTTCTAAAAAAGAAATTAACCAAACCAATTCGTTAACACAACAACTACGCACGGTATCTTTTGAAAAAATTATCTGTGTATTTCAAATGACTCATTCACAGTAAATTAATGCATCATTCGATTAGAACGAATGAATGAGAATGAAAAAGCATTTCTTCGTTGCCGCTGTATCGTTATATTGTTAATTATTGTTACTATGAATACATGTATCTGCTTTAAATTTTAATTAACTCGTAATTAACTATGAAGATAATTTAGATGTTAATTTTGATGCGTTATTATCGTCACTATTTCTTACGAGGTCGGGCGTAGATTAGTTGAATTAAACAAATTATTTAAAAAAAAAACTAATTTTATCACGTATAGTGTAATCAGTTCTCTTGACGTATTCCACGTCTGCTGCCGGGATTAATTGCTGGGATGGTGTATTGATCTCGGCACGGATGTACTAAGACCCTATTGTGAATTTTTTTGTTTTTTTTTTAAGATTGAAGAATTACTGGTCGTCCGGAGACCTTTCCAGTTTCACCAGGACAGGTGGGCGAGCAAAGGCTCAGCCAGGAGGGGTGGGATTTGCTAACAGCTGCCCGAGCGCCTCCGAAGGAGACCTAACAACTCAAAAGCAGCTGCTTCGCGAATGAATCTACTAACGGATCGGAATCGTGACCCGCTGGGAAGATCCGGCGAGAAACCCAGCGAGCTGTTGCATGGGTTAAAAAACTTTTTCGTATGAACCAACCATTGGATATCAAATTTTGAATAAATCTGCGATTATGTTTGAAACGTCCGATAATTGTTATTTCGAAGTTATTTCTTCAACATCCCATCTTAAAGTCTACTCTAAGAATATATTCACCTTATTCACCAATATAAGCTAATAAGGTTGATTACCTATAGGATTTACTTTATATTTTTATATTAGCATAAAATTCACGAATGTAGAGCTATCACAATCAACCATGCACCGTTTTGACTTCATTTATTTATTTTTATTGCTCAGATGGGAGGCCCAGCTCAAGCCTCACCTGGTGTTAAGTGATTACCAGAGCCCATAGACATCTACAACGTAAATATCGCCTTGAGATGAGGTCTCAGTATAGTTACAACGGCTGCCCCGCCCTTCAAACCGAAACGCATTACTGCTTCACGACAGAAAGAGGCGGGGTGGTGATACCTACCCGTGCGGTCTCACAAGACGTCCTACCACCAGCTAGCGCTAAATGTATGCGAAACACGATAAATATGGAATTATTTTTATAACATACATAATATAATTTATAATATACATTCTAAGGAAT